CTTTTGAGGCCCTCAAGGTGGCGCTGGGTCGCGGCCCATAGGTTAAGAATCTCTGATTTAGAGTGTCTTCTTACATGTTATATTCTGGTCTGTAAACGTATTTTGCCAAAATGATGTACTATAACTATGGTAGATCCAGTAATAAAACTTTGTATGTGTTTTTTTTTTCAAGTTGTGGAGAGCCAAATCCCTGCTGGCATGAGCCTATTTTAGTTGTCAAAAGTTGTTCAAATTASAGAAATATTCAAAAATACGTAAAATAGACACTATTCCAGGTTCTTTGATGCAAAAATAAATGTGTTAGCATGCAAATGTTATTTTTTATGTGTCTTCTTAAATACCATTCTGTACATTCCAAATCTATGTAACTAAAATGAAAGAAWAAATCTTCTGCTGTTATAATGTGTACAGCCAGTTAGCAGGGGCTAGCCTGCACTGTGTTCATCATTCCTGACAGGCTCATTGGAAAGCAGCAGGCTCCCAGTCTGACAGGGCTTATCGTGGGAACAAGAGTCCCCCAGGCTTGTCACTGCTAGACACTTTAGCAGAAAAAGCTGCAGACTCAAGCTCCAAAAAAAAAAARRWTTWAAAAAAAAGAAGAAGCAAACTAGAAGCCATCTTGCGATGTGATCTCACCGAGCTCAAGGCCAGAGAAGCTCTTGGACCTCACACCTCTTCTTGAACTTGACCGTTGTGACAGCGGCGCGCCAGGTAAGGTTTTGTGAATGAACTTTTCTCGGCTGCGAGACAATCACTTCGAGGAAATTTACCCGGAGTTCCGTGAACCTGCCAAATGATATTCTCCGTGCATCCTCCTACACAGCCTCACAAACCAAAACAAGACCTGCCACACTGTTGGACTCATAATAACAATGTTGTATGATTATTTCTGTGACAATGTATCATTTCTCAGCAGACAGTTTTATTGTGCCTCTAATTAGCCAGCTTATGGATTGCTGTTCACAAAACTGGGCCATTGTCTGACTGAATAGCTCGCTCATGAGGAGGTGTGAACTGACAAATGAGAATCATTCATATGTACAGGAGAGGAATTTTTTCTACACTATAAATAAAATGTTGGCCTTTTACTATATGTAGTGCGCTCCAATTATCCATCAGGGTTTGAATCATCGCCTCACCTCCGAACTTCTTCTTCCAGTTGCAGGGGATCTTGCAGCGTTGGGTTTTTATGGTCTGCTTGCAGCCGGTGCGAGTTCCCTCCCTGGTGCCGAGTCCGCAGTCGCCCTCGTTGGCCACACACACGCTCCACTGCCAGTCCCCGCAGTCTGACTTGCGCTCTTTCTTTCCTGTAAAAACCGTTGGGTGGTTTCAAAATCAATTATTTCTGTGAGTGCAGCCAGCATGAGGTGCAAAGTTTTTTTAAAAATGTCTTTTCCAAGACTTTACACTTGTCCAATTCCACCATGTTTGTTTAATTAAAGACTAGGGCCAGACTAATGTTGGTCAATCGACTGATTCAAGATTCAACCATGTGGTTTGTTTATAGTGAGTGAATACCTGCTTTTTAGAATTTCATACGGCAAACTGCTGGAGTAAACTGCACCATTTGATAAAAACAAAACATKATATTCTTTTTTTACGTTTTATGTTATTGTCTACAGTTAGTACCATTATTAAGATCTTTAAATCTTGATGTCTAGGTAAGTCTTATTCAAATTTAAGAATGTACATGTTTTAAATTTCACAATTTTACCTTTAATTTCATCTTTTGTTTTGATATCGAGTTTTATAGTTGTCCGTCTTTGTCTATAGGAAAATATCTCATGAAGATACAACAGAAAATGTTTTAGAGTTAACTCATTTCAACATCCAACTAACCAACATAAGCTAACACAAACACACATCTATTAAACTTTATTTCTCTATTAAAATCAGAAAATGAAAATTCCTACTTGCTCTGTTTGTAGCATCATTTACTCCCTTTTGAACTTTTGCAATAAGTTTGGTATTTGCTTTTATTTCCAATGCAAATATGCTTTTTTCTGTATTTAAATTAGTTTCAGTTTTATTTTCTTTCCCCAGGTGGTTGGATTTAGTTTTCTTTCTTTTTTTTTTTTTTTTTTTTTTTTTTTTTTTTTTTTTTTTTTTTCCCCAAAATAGGGGGTTTTGTTTTGGGTGAAATCCCAGAAGAGACCAATTACTTCAACTACAAACTTTTGTTTTTTTAAGTTGAGTCAAACTGAACACATTTCTTAATTTGATGGTATTTAAAACAAATAGCTTCTGTCTATAAGTGTGCACACTGACTGAAAAAAATCACCTTGTTTTTCTGCTTTACCTCCTCCCGCTGCCATCACTGTTAGCACGAGGAGTGCCACTGCAGCCACCCATGTCCACTGCTTCAGTCCAAACATTCTTTAATAAAAATAAAAAGACAAAAAAATATGTATTTTTAGCCTTCTTAGTTATGTACCAGAACTTCAGACATTCAACAGTTTGGAAAAACATGGAGAAAACCAGAAAATAACTAAACAAAAAACAGTTGACCCAAGTCTCACGGGAGACCAGAACAGCCTGAGGAATTTCCATCTTTTCATCTCATCTTGGCGCTATTCCCACTGTGCGGGAATCCAATATCAACATTTTGATTGTCTGCACAGCAGTTCCACTGACAGTCATATGTGYACTCACCATCGATCTCAGTGAGAGCATGTCACAGTTAGAAAAAGCCATCAGGCAGGTTTAAATCTAAACTTTTGGCCCCTTCAGGCTAAAAAAAACATGGTCCCAGTCGGAAGTTTGAAAACCCTCGGAAGCCAGTACATTTCTATTTATTAGTTATTGTTACATGTAATAAGTCATACCTCTTAGCCAACCAACAAGACCAATAAGGAGTCATGTTGGAATAATTCTCAGATGAATACCTCCAGTGTCTCAATCTGCCTATTKTTTTAGTTGAGAATGTGGTCAATACCTGTAACATGTCAAGACTGGCAACAAGCARATATCTATTTAAGATAAACTGGCTTTACAAGCCTAAAAAATATCTGAAATAAAAATACAATGGAATAATCCAGAGATTCTTAACCCATGGACCGCGACCCAATTGTGGGCCACGAGCGCCACCTTGAGGGCCTCAAAAGAACAACAGTTTTTAACTTTGGGCCGCAGAGGGCCGTGGGACCACATTGATTTTGAATAAGGTGCAATACACTTTCTCACCACTAGTAGCAGTAGTGAGCCACTCAGTTATTTAACAACTTTTTTTAATATGTAGAAGAAGAACCTTAGAAACCAGCCGAGAATGGAAACTTATTTTAAATGAAAAGTAGAAGCAAAAATGAAAGTAAATTGTCAAAAAAACACCTAAGTTTGTCACTAATATGAAGAGCAGCTTCTGGTTGCAAAAGTTTTAAAAGGCTATATTTTCATTTGTACTTTATCAAATTTATTTTACAGTTGTTTTATTTGAAGCATTAAACATTTTTAATTTAGTTATTTTATGACCACAATTTTATTTTTTGAATTGTCTATTTTTGTTATTGTTTATACTAAATATACAGTATATATTTGTGCTGATAAGCCTGAGTGGTCTGTTGACTGACCTTTGTATTTGTTCAAATAATTGTTATRGGYAGGTTACAATATGAAAATGTTTGTCATAATCACGTCTTGTGATTATTTGACAGGAGTTTTACTTTTAAACTGTAAGTGTATTTAATTTAGTTATGATAGTTTAGTTATGATGTAAAAACAATAAAAATTAAACCAAGATTTAGAATAATTATCATTTTGATCCATACATTGGTAATGTCTGACTGGGCCTTGTGCCACTCTATGTTCAATAAATTGGGCCCCGAGGTCAAAAAGGTTAAGAACCCCTGGAATAATCTACCACATTGCAGCATATGCAAGGCAAAAGTTTGTGCTGACATCTTGGTAGGTGCTACATGGTGTCTTTAGTTACTGCAAGCGTGGCAGCAAACCATGATTATCTGAAGGAAAAAAAATCTAAACTTAACAAAGATGTTCAATGTTTTATCAATAATTGGTATAATTATTAGAACATGTGTAATAGGTGGTTAGATAGGTCACAAAAGATAAGTTAGTCTGCTTTAAAGAATAGTAAAGATGAATAAGAATAACAAATAGTGGCTAAACCCATAGTTCAAAAACAAAMCAAGGTTCAGAAACACACACGCATCCCACAAATGTTGTTTATCACAGTTTTATTATTCAAAGGTTCATCACATTCTAGACTGCAACAAATACTGTAAAGCAGGAAACTGAGGTTAGGCCTGTACWGGCTAACTGAATTTACTCTATTGAYGTAAGTCATGTACTGGATTTTCTTCAATAACAATCATTATTATAAACCTGAGTACAATCTTTATAAACTGAGATAGAGTCTAAGCTAGGCAAACTACATCTAAACACAAAGTGTATGTAATGCCTAAATAYCGCCAGGATTGTGAGAAAACTGACTTAGTTTAAGCTTAAGTGAATGGAGTTAACTATAGATACAAGTAGAGCTCTGGTTAGACTAAATCAACATGTAAAGTACTTAATTAYCYAAAGTGCTGTTATTCATTGGTCCATAGCTAAAAGGATTACAACACTTTGTAATTYATCACATTAGGAATAGCTCACTGAGTTAGCACTTTGCTCGCAATAATGYTTGAACACGCTTAGTGGGAGGCCCATTACACCTTCCACTTTCCCCCATTTTCTCAACATACAATATTTTTATTCAAGTAAGCAATGTAAATATGTTATTTGTTAAGTGTTTTTGAACTAATAGAGCATACAGCACACAGAAGGACAAAATATGGTTTGGACATTAAAGACTGAAACACACCTAAGATTACAAACTGATACTGGAGCTAAAGTCAAATTATTAATGCTTTTTTAAACCGTTTATCTGTAATGGTTTTCTATCAAAATTTRATTTTTTCAAGTTATAACTTGAAAAAATAACTGAAGCGATGTGATATAAAACACTATACATATATAAAGTGCTATATAAGTTCAGTCCATTTATCATAGATGGGTAGATAAATGAGTAGATATATGTATATTTAAAGTATAACAACTTTTTGACTTTTTTGAAAAACATGAGGTGTATMCAGCCCAAAAAATTGGAGCTCAGAGGCTTTGAGCCCAAACAGTTATTAACCTGCTCCGTGTATTGCCCTTTAGAGAAGAATATTCACATAGAGAAGAAATACCTGTGTGGTTTCACAACAGCTCTACACCCTCAGCAGGGTCCTGGAGGGTGCATGGGAGTTCGCCCAACCTGTCTACATGTGTTTTGTGGACTTAGAGAAGGCGTTCGACCGTGTCCCAAGGGGGGCCTTGTGGGGGGTTCTCCGGGAGTATGGGGTACCGGGCCAYTTGATACGGGCTGTCAGGTCCTTGTACGACCGGTGTCAGAGTCTGGTYCGCATTGCCGGCAGTAAGTCGGGCTCGTTTTCGGTGAGAGTTGGACTCCACCAAGGCTGCCCTTTGTCACCGATTCTGTTCATTACTTTCATGGACAGAATTTCTAGGYGCAGCCGAGGTGTTGAGGGGATCCGTTTTGGTGGCCTTAGGATCACATCTCTGCTTTTTGCGGATGATGTGGTTCTGTTGGCTTCATGGAACGAGATCTGCAGCTCTCGCTGGAGCGGTTCACGGCCGAGTGTGAAGCGGCCGGGATGAGGCTCAGTGCCTCCAAATCCGAGACCACGGTCTTGAGCCGGAAAAGGGTAGAGTGCCTTCTCCGGGTCAGGGGGGTCGTCCTGCCTTAAGTGGAGGAGTTTAAGTATCTGGGGATCTTGTTCACGAATGGGGGAAGAAGGGAGCGGGAGATCGACAGGCGGACTGGTGCAGCGTCTGCTGTAAAGCGGGCGCTGTACCGGTCCGTCGTGGTGAAGAGAGAGCTGAGTCAAAAAGCGAAGCTCTAGATTTACCGGTTGATCTACGTTCCTACCCTCATCTATGGTCATGAGCTTTGGGTCATGACCGAAAGAACGAGGTCCCGGATACAAGCGGCCGAAATGGGTTTCTTCCGCAGGGTGGCTGGACTCTCCCTTAGAGATAGGGTGAGAAGCTCGGTCATCCGGGAGGGACTCAGAGTAGAGCCGCTGCTCCTCCACGTCGAGAGGAGCCAGTTGAGGTGGCTCGGGCATCTGGTAAGGATGCCTCCTGGACGCCTCCCTGGTGAGGTRTTCCRGGCACRTCCCACYGGGAGGAGGCCCSGAGGAAGACCCAGGACACGCTGGAGGGACTATGTCTCTCGGCTGGCCTGGGAACGCCTTGGAGTTCACCCGGAGGAGCTGGAAGAAGTGGCTGGGGAGAGGGAGGTCTGGGCCTCCCTTCTGAAGCTGCTGCCCCCGTGACCCGCCCCCTGATAGGCGGAAGGAAATGGATGGATGGATGGATGGATGGATGGATGGATGGATGGATGGATGGATGGATGGATGGTTACACAAAAAAAATTGGAAATGTCAAGACAAACCCTGAATGCATTTGGGAATATGTATTTTATTTATCCTTTTTAGAGCAGCTAGCCATCCGAATGGACAGCACATTATTTAAAGTTTAAGGAATAAAACAAAGTTGCCATTTGTTAAATTCCCCATTTGATTTGATTCTCCTGCTTTTTTCTGCATCAACAGAGATTTGTTAAATTGTACTGCCACAAAACTTACTGCTGTCTGAGGCAATGCTGCCCTTTCCCCATTTTATTTATTTGTCTTTTTTAAGCACTTTCCTGCTGCAGACAATCCTCTCTGAGAGGGAAGACAGCAGCAGATTCGGGCAATTACCAAATGTCTGACACCAAAGACGCTCCTCTGTGCCCAGATTCCTGTAGAACAGTCAGGCCTCGCAGAGTAATAATATGCATTTGCCATTTTTAATCAATCAAAAACCTACATTCAGTGCTGGATTGCTTTGTACGATTAACCTGTACGTTCATTTCAATTTCAAATACGCTTCAGTGACTGTTAACTTGGGAATGTTTCAAGTATAGATTATTAGCTGTTCTAAAAGTATATTTAATTTTAAAGTTAAAGCYTTTCAGAACACAGGAACTAATAATAATGAGCTACAAGATGACGTCTGTGGGTTTTTTTTCCCCTGCCTGGAAGTTATTCGAATCCTTCCCATGATAGAACCTCTATTTTTCTATTTGTGGCAGCTCACAGCCAAATCCAGCTTTGATTAAATACTTCAGACTCAGTCTCCAAGTTTTATGTTTAATATTAGCTCTAAGGAACTCCGAACTCTTCCAGCTTTGTAACACTCTCCTTAAAAAAATACAGTGGAAAAAAAAAGAGAAAAGAAAAATGATGAAAAAGCATCATTGAATCCCAACTGTAAGTCATATTTACAATGACTTCTAAGAGTTTCATGGAGAAAATCCAATAAAA